ACTTTAACACCGCGACCATCACCTGAGATTATCATCATCGTAATCATTACCACCACCATCATCATCTTTATTGTCATCATCATCATCATCATCATCATTTTAATTGCCAACAAAGCCATGGAGACTTAAATTAGAGTCGTCACGGATGAATGACTCTTCTATATTTGCTCGCAGCATAACAGCCATGAATGCAATATTATCAATTGAATGAACATGCCATCCCCGTTCTATGGCAATTTTTTAAACTACCAATTAACAAATTATTTCATTCATTCATTCATCATTAACATTAATTGATTAAATAATTAATAAACCAAATCAAATATAAAAAATATTTATAGATAATTTGTGAAAATCTTAAATAAACCACGGAATAATATTTTACGTAACCATGTAGTTTAAAAATGGAATTGCCCTCTGTCTTTCTACTCTTTCAATTATTTAAGCTGTACTGGATACGTTGATAGCTGGAGTGGCATTGACGTCACACATTCGCCATTATATTGTATGGAGAGGGTGTCGTCAAGTGGAAGATGAATATTAATTGCGTTAATTGGATATGTTAATTTAATGCTTATTTGAATGCATTCCGGTCACATGCTACAGTTCAATTTTTATAATAAATTCTATGTATCTAATTAATACAGTTAATTATAACCTAATTAATAATCTAATTAATTCTATTAATAAAATGAATTATAATAGTTATCGTATTTTAGGATAAATTTAGAACTAAAAGTACGACGAAATTATCGCCAGGATCGCTGCCATCAAGTTGTCTTTATCGTCATTGCACACACACACATACATACTCCCACACACATACACACACATACACATACACACACATATACAACACACACATACACATACACACACACACATACACAACCCACACACATACACGCACACACACACACATATGTATGCGTTTTGCGTAACAATACATACAAACACAAAAAATACAAATTTACACATGACTGGAGCATGCATTTGATTAACTAACTTGATGTAATTTTATCATTTTGGTTTTTGTATTTGGCACATTTTAATTACGAGCGTGCTGCTCTTCTGAACATGCATCTACATTCTACTGCGCTTCTTGTAAAAAGGTGATGATCATTTATAAAAAATACATTTTTTTCGTTTAGAATGAAGTTTCAAACTCGAAGTTTTTCAAATTAAGGGTGACCTCGAAAGTATAAGATTTTTGTATTCTTGGGATTAGCCATTTGTGAATAAGTGCCCCGACCTGAGAGACAAAATTAAATTGTAGACTGTTTCAAGGTCCTGGTTCCTGCCTTCATTCTTTCAAACACTTTCAAATTCGAAGAGTGTGAAACAGATTAAAGTTGATTTACCTGCATTGCTCCTCGTCATCCCCATATTTTCAACATCGGCGTCAGCTGTAGGTACGTTTATTTACTGTCGAAGCGATTGTGAATTCAATTTCAAAACGATGCCAGCTGTAGCTTGCTTATGTTTTTTTTAATTAGAACGGAACTTTGAAACAACACGTTCTAATGCCAGCTGGTTCTAACTCAGGCTGAACAAGTCTTACAGGCTCGTATTGAATACTGTTACACGCTGGTCAATCATTTTTAAAACCACTTGAAACGTCTTTTTTTAAATTTTCGATCGATGTGATTTATACTGTTTGTTAACTTTTGCATGCATTTCAACTGGTACTACTTGTTAAATTTGATGGTCAATAAAAGTTTGTTCTGAAGTATCGCAATTTTTTAATTTTTAGACTTAAAATCTTTATAGCATATAGCCATTTAAGAAAGACAGACCACAAAACAAATACACGCTCACTAGCACACTCGTAAAATATTAAATCCTAACAAAAATTAAAAATCTTGACAATTGTTTTAGTCTAGATTATTTTCCTGATTTACTTTATATATAACTGATTCAAATTAAGCGCTGACCCTGTTGGCGATTATATTAACTTAAGTTTACATTTAGTTATAGGTTAATTTTTCTCATTAGAAAATCATTGAGTTTAATTTAAATATGTTTCACAAAAAGAAGGACAATGGAAATTAATCATCTAATTCGAAATCATCTAAATTAGGCAAACAACAGATTTTAGACTTCCAAATAAATGTATTTTAATTTTGAATTTTGTTGAGCTTGGTGCTGTCTGTGGGGCTTACTTCAATCAACACCAACATCAACTTCATCTCATCACAACAAAGGCAACCCATTCTCCAACCCACTCCAACATCCATTCATAGTTGGTGAGTGATCCTCCCGCCATTATTTTTTATTTATAATTATTATTTTTCTGAAGATTTTTAACTATGTTTGTGGTTTGTAGTTAAGTTGTTACTTTCTCTGCATTATAGAGTAAACAAGAATTCTCTTAAAATTGTAAAATTAAAATAAAAGTAACCATTTTTAATTGGATTCATTTTGATGAGGTTTTTGATATTTTTTGAATTTAGGTTTTTCATTCATTGATTTACTTACATTTACAACATTACTACACTGATTACAGATTGCATTTTATCAAATTTTTGTTATATTTATTTTTAGCAGACATGAAAAAGTTTCTTGGTACAAAAAGCGATTTTCTGGGTAAGGAGTTCAAATTGAATAACAGACGTCTTGCTGTCGAGGACGTCATTGCTGAAGGTGCCATGTAATGTTACAACAAATTTATATTAACATTTCTTGTTTGTTTAGCTTAGAGTACTAAGTACTCAGCCAAGCTTTTTACTTTCTGTCTTTTTTTATGTAACTTTTTTGTTTTTAAATTAATACAAATAATTGTTGATGATTTAAATAAACATTATGTTTTGACACTATCTATATTTTACTTTCCAGCTCTGTTAAGTCACCCAACTTTATTTCTATCTGCTTCTGTTTTCAATTTTGGTTTCTTCTAATCTCTCTTTTTATTATTCAATGAATATAAATTATGTTAATTTCATTGTTTTATTTATATATCATGTTTGTTAGGTTTTATGAAAACTTTGGTCATCAGCATTTTTAAAGTGAGTTATTCAATTTAAATTTAAATTTTTCATATTACAAAGGAGGATTCTCGATTGTATTCCTTGTGTATTGTGAGGCAGATGGTAAGCATTATGCTCTGAAGAGATTGTTTGTAAACGAAGACTCCAAGCTGATGATGTGTCGACAGGAAATTGAAATCACTGTAAATGTTGTTGTTGTTTTTGTTGCTGTTGTTGTTGCTTGGCGTTTGGAAAAACTAACATTAATGTAATAATTATTATAAATTGTTATATGTTCTGTTTTTTCAATTTAACACTAACAAAAGTAGTTGCTTGCTTAACCAGTAAGACCACCGATGTATAATATGTGAGGCTGATAAATAATATCAAATCAAACTATGCAACACAATCATTAAAATATTGCCATCATCACTTCACAACATTTTCACTTTCACCACTATTGCCTTATTTTATAATGCAACCATCATTGACATTTCTGCTAATTCATTCTTGGTTGAACTAGAGGAAGCTATCAGGCCACAAGAACATAGCAGAATGTCTGGACGCCTGCATTACTGCTGTTGGTAATGACGTCAATGAAGTACTCATACTACTGCAATATTATAAAAGTCTGTCTGCTCAGTTGCTCCATCCTCATTAGCACCTTATTGTTAATTTCATTTGCAAACATGTTTCTATTGTTAATAATTATTATTGATCAATCATTTTACAGAATTTAACATCAGCTATTATTGTATTCAAGTGGTTTTAATTATATTTATCAAATCGTTGTCTATCTAATCTTTGAGGATAAACATACATAAGCATTACAAACATTTTAAACACCCTGAGCATAGTGAGCATCTTGGATGAGATGAATGAAAGGTTGAACAGGAGGTACACAGAATCTGAGGTGTTGAAGATTTTTTGTGACGTCTGTGAAGCTGTTTCCAGCCTGCACCACAATGCAGTTCCCATCATTCACAGAGACCTCAAAGTATGCTCCTCAAATTTCTTTTAGTTTTTCCATTTTTTTAGTTTTCTGCTTACTAACTGATCTTTTTAGTTAGGCACATCGTTGTCTATAATGATTTTTTCTTGTTGATATTATTTGTTCCGCGCAGCGTCATCACAGTTTGCATCATGTTACTATTTTTATTATTACAATCCCATCACCCACTACTACTACGTTCGTCATTTTTTGTTGTGAGGACAACATTGCCATCCATTTATTTTTTTATTTCCGTCTATTATTACATTATCATCTGGCTTGTCACATTCATTTTTTGTTGCTGCTTCTTTGTTATTGCCGTCATCATCGTCATCACCATCGTCATAATTTTTAATTTCTACATTGTTTATTTAATGTTCAACAAACTCAAACGTAGAAATTTGCTTAATTTTCCATAAGATCTCACATGATAGTCATAATAGTGATGTTCACGTGATCGTCACATAATCATCGTAGTCATCGTCACACTCTGGTCATCACCATTGTACATTGTAACACATTATCAGATAGAGAACTTGCTGAGAGATGGCAAGGGTAATGTGAGGTTGTGTGACTTTGGTAGTGCCACCTTCACAGTCCTCAACCCCCTGGTGGATGGCATCGGTGCCGTCAGTGACGAACTTCAAAAGTTTGTTCCTCTTCATTCATCTTCTATGCAACCAGCAACAGACTTTATACCAGCATCACTCATCTCTCTCTCTCTCTCTCTCTCTCTCTCTCTCTCTCTCTCTCTATATATATATATATATATATATATATATATATATATATATATAAAAATATGTTTTACAATATTCTATAAATTCTATTGTAAAAATTATGGTCTATTACCTACACACACACACACACACACACACACACACACACACACATTCACACACACACACACACACACACACATATATATATATATATGTATATATATATATATATATATATATATATATATATATATATATATATATATATATATATATATATATATATATATATATATATATATTCGTACATTCAAGAACTAGGTCCTACATCACCTTTTCATGTTGTTTCTTATAAATGTGTAGTGCATCCATATTTGTTATTTATTTATCTATTTATGGATTGATGACTTTCAAATTACATTATCCCATAAACACGTGAGTTACAGACACTCATACAAGTACATGCACACAACACAAACTACACACACACACACACACGACACATACACAACACATACACAACAGGTACACGACACTACAGTACAGATCACCCGAAATGGTCGACCTCTATAGCTATCAATCGATCAGCTTCAAATCTGACATTTGGGTAGGCCCCTATACCTTATTTATTAAAGATATTTCTGTAGAGTAGGTCTGCACAGTTTTACTTAGATGTTCACAACATTAATGATAGATTTGCCAACAAGTTTTCGAGTTCTTTATTTTAAGGTATTTCACTTCATACATCATTCATCAAGAGGTATCATTTCTTTTGTAAATAGTGACTCTGTTTGTTAATTTATAAACATATCAAATTATAGATAAATCTATAAATACATGATATACACCCACAGTGATTTAAGCATATAATCGCATAATTGCCTAGCTAACTGAGGAAATGCTTGTTTAGATTTTATCTGTAGATTGTTATATTATTCCTATATGCAATTAAGCACTTGAGTATGAATAATTGTTCACATTTATAAAATATACAATTCTATTTTTATATTTTAATAACTTAGGTTAATATTATTTTGGTTTATTAGTTCTATAGTTTTTTTACATTTTTTAATTTTTGTCAAAATATTAAATTGACCTACAAGCCAAACTATTTCAAAAATTTTCATTTAATGTTAACCTTAATATTTTATAATATATTTTTATGATACATTCACTTACAATAGTGATAGAAAACGAATTTTACTACTACATCATTCACATGTAGATGAGATGAAATAATTAATTTATATCGTCCTTGCAGGCTCTGGGTTGTCTACTGTACAGGTTGTGTTTCTTCACAAACTGCTTCGGGGACAGTGTGATGGCTATCAGCAATGGTCAGTTCACAGTTCCAGATGATTGCCCGTACAGTGACAGGCTCCTCAAGTTAATTAGTCAGTTAGCTGCTGCTCTTTATTTTGCTATTTCTTTGTCTACGTTAATTTCTGTGTGAAATACTGATGTTCAACTTTTGTATTGTTTAGCATCATTACTCTCTTTTATCACTACTGGCCTCTAAGGCGATTTTGCCAGTTTTGCAACCAGCACCAATTATATCACGATACTGTAATACTACCAGCTTTGATTATTCTAATAAAATTGAAAGTATAACAACTGCAATTAATAATTATTATTACAATAATTATTATAATTTTGTTTCAATTATTATAATATCTTGTCCAGAGTACATGTTGCAGACAGACCCAGACGATCGACCAGACATTTATCAGGTGTCTCACTTGGCCTTCACCTTGGCCAACAAATTTCAATGTCCTATCTCTAATTTTAATGTTAGTTTTGATAATCAACGATCTTGTAGATTTGTACATGAAAAGAAATGAACGAGTGAAAGAAAGAGTAAAGCAAAAAAATGATTACAATAACTATTAAAGATGATCATTTATAAATTCTTTACTAGAATTCCAAAGTACCAAGTTTTGACAATCTTGCCATGCCACTGAAAGATTCGGAGTTAAGATCTTCAAGAACCAAATTAACCAGGTTACCTGACTGGCCCACTTGCTCTTTATTGATTTGTTTCTTCATGCTCACGAAGTTTTTTAGTTGAAAAGTAATAAAAAATATCGTTGATTGAATAAATATTTGATATAAAATGCCTTAAACTTGTTGACTGCCATCAGAAATATTGAACAGTCAGAAAAAAGTGCGGTGGGCACATCGATCAACCCTCGGGAACGTCCACGAGTGCAAGTGCCAACTAACCCCCCTGTGAAGGCCAGCAAGGATGCTTCTAAGCAGCCTCCTCATCCCACCCCCTCTTCGTCATCATCATCATCCTTATCGTTGATATCAGGTAATTTAGGTTCGTGTCATTTCAACAACACTACATGCAATATATTATATAACCAGCAGGACCAGAACAACGTCATCATCTAATCTTTATTAACCTCAACAAACTTCTTGTATGCTTGCATGTTGAATGGATAAACATAATTTCAGGCTGAAATAATTATTGCAATAACTTTTATCTGATATGTCTAAAAGGTAAACTGATAGAAATCGACTCAAATGCAACACCGACATCAACGAAATCTGATATTCAGACGACAGTTGCAAGAGACCAGCAACATAGGGTAACACAGCATCAGCAACAACCTTTAAATCATTTTGATCCATTTGGGCTGGCACCAATGAATTTGAAAGCTGCGACATCAACAAAATCATCTCCTTTGGTACACAACTCCACAGCATTCCCTCATCATTCAACAGCAGCAACTACAATGACATCAACATTGACAGCTGCTGGCAACCACAACATGACACCAACAATACCAGAGGAACCTCCATTAATAGACTTAAATCCCTCAAACTGTTTTGAAGATTCTTTCCTAGTAGAAACAACAAATGCCGGTAGTGCCACCAATCCATTCAAACAGCAACTTCAAAACCAGCAACACATCTTGCAGCCTCAACAGAACAATAAACTTTTGAGTTCCACCAGCAACACGATGAATTTGAATCAGTATGTTCCTCAAACTATTCCCCAGTTCAGATATCAACCTACCTGTCAATCATATGCAGCAACTCCTACTTTCACTTACAATCAACCAATGGGGCTAAATTATGCAAATAACGTCATTAACAACAATTCAATGTTCAATATAAACACAGCAATAAACCAGAGACCAAGCAACAATCTGAACAACAACATGCTGACCCTGTCTCAAAATTTCATTGGCAGTCATGACAATAATTTCAACAACTTCAACGGTTACCAGGTCTGCGCAGCTTCCTAGTTTTTGTTTTTTTAGTTTTTTCTCAGTAAATATTTTAATTTTCTGTTTTTACTATAATTTATAAGGCAAAATAACATGACACCTATCTCCTACGAAACACAACAGCAACCATATTCAACACTGTACAAGCACAGGAGAAATGTCAGCGACACCTCAGCTCTCACATCCAACTACCACACTCATCAACAGCAACTATTACAACAACAACAAAATCTACAACAGAAACAATATATATTTCAACAGCAACGTGATTTGCTTCAACAACAGCAACATTCACAGCCACAAATGCTCCTACAATGTCCACAAATCTCTCAACAATTTCCCAATCAACCACACACACTATCGAGGTGATCAACTGCTATCATCTCATTGATTGAATACTTCTCTATATCTAAGACGCGGATTGTTGCAGCAAATAAAAAAAATTATGGAAAATGTTCGAATAAAATCATTAAAAAGTAAATTGAATAAATGAATTAAATTTTGCAGGTCAAATGAGCACACACCAGATGTGATGAGAACGAGTTTTTCAAACAACACACCAATCCAACCTCAACAAATTACACTGCAGCAAATCAACAACAACAACATCGTCGGACCATTTGCATTAACGGAATCCATGAACAGAAACTCTATATTGGACCAGTTTGATGAGTTGACTCTCAGGCACTCACATTCCTTCTCAACAATTTCTGAAGGACACGTTCAACAGACTGCAACAGTCGAAAATCAACTATTTCAAAATGACTTTCCATGCCATTTTCAGCATAATAACGTCGAAAAGCATACAAGCAATGACAACAGCGTTGACTTATTTGGCGAGATTCCTTTCAACAAAATGGGTTTGTTTTTTTTTTCTCAAACATTTTATCATCAACGGTGACAAACTGCACCTTCTTCTTTCTCGGGCCTTATCCTTTCAGGACATTTGCGGCCATCGACCTCCACAAAACCCGATCTTTAACACTTTGCAGTAGTTGAAATGTGGTGGTATTCAACAAGTGACACAAGGACTTTACAAATTGTTGACATTCAAAACATTCATTGTTGACCGCGATCTCTTTTCCCAGCAATCTTTTCAGTAGTTGTTAGATTTTTTACTCTTTCCTTCCGCATGATGTGACCAAAAAGCTTTAACTACCCCCGTCGGATTTATCTGTAGTGATTTCCTCTTTTCATAACTGGAATGTTTTAATACATCCTCATTCAAAGTATGAGAGGTCCAACTAATTTTCATAATTCTTTTCAAAAACCACATCTCAGCAGCGTTAATCTTTTTTTCCATTTCTTTAGAAATCGTCCAGGACACAGAGCCGTAAGTTAGCACAGGAAAAATGTAACAATACGACAAACTGCACCACCTTCTTGAAAACGCAAACTGGATACATCCATGTATTGTTTGAGTGAAAGTACTTAATTTGATCTTCTTGGGAAAACTTAGAATTAATCTTTAAATGCTTATAGTAATTACATACGCCACATTTTATTTTTAAGAACTGTTAAACAAATAGCATGCTGATAACGTTTGTCAATACTAACAACATAGTATATTCGTGTTGTCACTCAAAAACATTTGTTAATTTCAGTTACAAATCTAAAGACGAGGCATCAGCAACGCTTGGAAATGGGACACAAAAGGAGTGTGTCAGACTTCAAATAAACTAGCTCATCAATCAATTATTCAATCGTTTATTTATTTATTAAATTAATTATTCACTTAATTAACTAATTAATCAATCAGTCGTATAATTAACTGGTTACTAATTATAAATTAGTTAAATATTGATCACATATAAATCATATTATGCCATTAACAATCGAAATGCGTGTTTGGTTTATAAATTAATTTATTGTTGCCATCAGTGTTTATAATTGTTATTAAATATTCGTTTATAATTATAGTGCTGTTTCTTAAAATGACCTAAAAATACGGATGTATAATATTTTCGCAAAATAAAATCAAACGTTCACGAATCAATTTAAAAGAAAGTATTCAACGGAACGCGGATGATGAAAAAGAGATTAAAAAAATATAAATATTTTTAAATTTAATAATAATTATAAATAAATTGATATAATTCGTTAGTTCGTGGATGTCAGACCAGTCCGAATCCTTGGGTGTGCTCAATGGCTTGCAGCAACTTCTTCTTTAAAATTTCTTTCGTCTGATACCTTAATTGACACATTTTATAAGCTAATTGAAGTTAGAACGTCACACAATGATTCAATTTCGTCTCGAAAGTCCACATTCAATGTTCTATAACATCTCACAGCAATAATACTTAATCATTGGCTATAGTCAACAATTTAATTGCGCACTGAACATCATACCACACTAATAACATTAGACCAGGCACGCAGCACCATTCAGATACACTGACCTGGGCAGATCGAGTATGTTGAAGCACGTGTGTGCAACTGGCAGTAAATCTAAGCTGCCCCCCATCATCTGGATGGTCAGCTAAAGTGGGTCGCCCCATTAGTAAATTAAATTTAACCAATAGAATTAGTTTATTACTCAGCAACTAAACGGTCTTTTCAGAGACCATCATAAACAATTTTTAAGGAGAGACAAACGAAAACAGCAAACGCATGTGCACCAGCAGACAAACCTTGATTGCTTTCATTCCGTGTATCGGTATTCTGTCACAACCAGTCAAGAATACTGGCGTACGTTAAGTTTGTTATAAATAGCTCGTAATTGTTATAACAATTATGTACCTCAAATTAATTAAAAATTGTGAGCATTTTAGAAGGAAGCCGGGGTAACTAACATAGGAATTTTTTCTTTTCTTCCAATGTTAACTCCCTAAATGCCTGCCAGAAGAATTTAATGACTTCATCATTTTTGTCGTAATTCTTATAGGCGGCGTTCTGTTGGATGTCGTTTAAGCGTATCCAATAATAATTTTATTAACTTATGTAGCACTGTTGATAAAATGAAGTTAATAAATGCATCAACATCATCATCACTGCCATCAGAGGCAATCAGACAAAGCTATCATCATAATTAAAGCAGCACTTAATTTATCGTGACAATCTTCACTTACAGCTTCCAACTCATCCCAGTCGTAGTTTTCATTGCCTATGACCATCGCTTGCAGTTCTAACGGCTGAAAGAGCTCCTGGTGGGTAGGAAAGGACGTATTTACTTAATAATCAATTTCAACATATCAGCAGTTACCGAAGACAAATTATTTGGAAATGCAAGTAAATAATTGGGAAAAATTGAATGAAGAACGAAAAAAGAAGAAAAGTGTTGAACTGACGAGAATTCTGCTTCCGCAAACTTTAAGGAAGCCATGTGAAAATGCAGTGAATTGGTCAAGAACACTTTTGTTAAAGATGTAATCAACGTAGGCATCTACGTACTCCATCCTGCGCTCAAATAAATAAATAATATTACACAACAATTATGATATAATTGAATAATTGCATAAATGGAAAAAAAAATGAAACTGTATAGTGAAAAAATTCCCTGTTGTCGAAAATATTGATATGTTGTATATTAGTGCAGGCAGATGAACGTGATTCACATTATTTGGCGGGTTGGATCATTCGTTATTTTAAAATCAAGTGAATCATTTCCTTTTTATCATTTCTTTATCGGACGGTGGTGTTTGTGCTAGATGATAGGATGACAAATTGGGTGCCAGCACATTTAAAAAATTTTATTAGAACTGTGGTGAGTTTTCAAAGTGGAATTGCTAATGATAAGGGTTGAAGGTCCTATGGCGGATCCTTGAACCACACTAGGATTAATAGTTAAGGTAGATGAGAGTTGCGAGCAGAATAAAGTAGAATGACTCCTAACAGGAAGTAAATTTAGAATGATATTGCAGGTGTTGTCCGGTAGAGGGGGAGAGAGGATAAACTATTTGAAAAAGAGGGAAGTGATCCAGAGTACCGGAAGAATAATGAAAGGAAAGAAGCGTCCTTATACAATCGAATCCTTAATAGAATCATTAGTAGAGTCATTATAACTCGCTCATCATCATTAAGAATGTCATCATCATCATCCAGACGACTGACTTGTTCTCATTGGTCACTTCTATTGAAGACCCATTTTCAACCAGTGGTATTGTTAGCACTTTACCATAGTGATCTCTTGTGATCTGCAACATGTTACAACGCAATCGATCAATCAATTAATCAATCAAGAACAGATCATCATCTGACCTGATACAATCAAAGATTACCATCTGACATGATGCAGTCAACATATCATCACCGCGATTAATATCACCATCATCACCTTGCAATCATTACTACAGCGCAAGAACAATCGTCATCATCATCATCACTACTACTACAACTGCAAGAATAATCACCATCACCATCATCATCATCATCATCATCATCATCATCATCATCATCATTGCTGTTGCAACCTCGAATGTTAAGGCGAAGACCTCGGTTATATCGTTATTCTTGTAGTCCAGCAGAGTTTGGAGTCCCCTGAAAAAACAGCATCAAATAGAACAAAACAACAACAACATCAAATAGAAGGAACTTATAAATAGATCTGCAAACAACAAATGAATTTATAAAGTCAGCAGCATGCTAAAATAGCACATTAGAAGGTGCAATCATTTGTGAGCAAAAATTGCAAACACAGCAAAGATACAACAGTAGCAATGATGATGATGATGATGGTGTTGTTGGTGATGATAACTATTGCGGTTGTAGTAATGATGATGATAAATTGTAGACAGCAAAAATACATTCTTGAAACTTCAAAGAAAATATTAATAGACAGACGTCAGAAAAGTAAACATTACAAGTTCAATCAGCACAAATAAACAAATCCTCCCAAATTAAACCTTCCTATGAATATACAAATATTTATTAATCTAGATTTTTTTTTTTATAAACATACGAATATTTGAAAATATTTAAAAATACACTAATGTTTTTAACACACAAATTTTTATGAATATGAAGGAAAATAATGTAAGGAGCTCTTCAATACGTCTTCTAAGCAGAAGCACCAACCTGGCAGTTGTTGGCTGCAATTCTTTCAAATCTTCCAAAGTTGCAGGTCTGTCAGAGGATAAGATTTGATTTAAAACTATCATACATGCCACGGTCTTATATATATATATATATATTATCATATAGAGATTTTTATATATAATGTTTTTATTATGGGCTCTTAAATATCATGCTGACACACTAAGAACGTTGATATTAATGCTAATAACAATAATAATGTCAAACTTCTAATTTAAAATGATCGTACGTGTTATGCTAGCAGCAGCAGCGCAGCAACGATATAATGGAAAATGTGGCGTACAAAAAAACAGTTAAGTATGTGACATAAACGTAATTAATATTAATTTTTTTTAATTTATTAATTTATTAGTTCAACGACGGCTTACGCCATATTGTTTATGAAAATCACAAGACTTCTGTGGTGAACTGTCTAAAATTTCAACAAAACTCATTGAAAAAAATATGTAAATTGTAAAAAATATAACAAAATAACAATGATATTAACAATAACAACAACAATAACAACAATAATAGATGTTTAAAACGGCAACAACAACAACAACGACAACTTGTTGAGAAGTTTCTTGAATAAAATGAGAGGAAAGTTGATGCTGATGATGTTGTTGTTGTATATGGCAAGTCCGCAAATGACACCAATCAGTCGGTACATGTCGCTAGCTTCGAAGGACTGGTTGAAGAAACACAGAGGTAAGTAATAGTCAAGTCGGTCACTCCAACTAATTGCATCACTTAGTCCCAAACAATCATCAACACACACAGGCGGCGAACGCGAATGCACGTGAATACACGCATCACATGCAGATTGAATGTGATAGGCAAGATCTCTTTCGCATTCAAACCTGGTCAGTGCAACAGCAGAGCCAGGTGCTTTAACCGTTACACTACCTCAAAGTCGGATAAGTGAGATAAAAAAAAGTCATTGATAGAACGAAATTAGAGGCGATAGCAATAAAGATTACTCCAAATTCAACAAAACATAAAGAATAGTAACATTAACAAAGATATGAAATGATATGAACTAGAAATGATAAAGACAGGAAGGTCCACAAATGTATGTACTGACGTACAAGCGAGATTATAAACTTGTTAAAATTGTGTCTTAATAGTCTCAGCGTGATCAACAATAATAAATGTAACAAAATTAATAATAATGCAATAAAAACAATAATGAAATTAATATTAACAAAATAAAAATAATAATTTATATTTCTAGAAACCAAATAAATATTTTGAAATTAACAATCCTGACAATAACGAAGTAAAAGCGACAAAATGAATTAGAACGAAATGAAGCGGGACATGCGCATACATGGGAGTTGAACCAAATGAGTCGGGATTCCTCAGAATAGAGGAACATCCCATACTTGGGATCTAACAGATCCTTCAGCAGCAGCATGAAAAACTCTTTCTTCAAACCACCGGCATCCAATGCATCTTCACCAAGAAATATCACCTGCAATCGCAATATAACATCCAATATAACAGGTAATGTAACATAAGATGAAGTAGTAGAAGTAATGTTACATACAGAGTATAAGACGTCATAACGCAGCCAACGTAACATGCCCCACTTACTACAGTAAAACATAACACAATATACATACCCCAACGTAATGTCAGGATCTTGCAAGCCATTTAACGCACGGTTATCAGCAATAAACATAATTCGTGACGATAATAAGCAGTCAAAACCCTCAACATGAACAATAATAGTAATAATAATAATAACAACAACAATAATAAAAATAATGATAAAAACGTTATTATTATTATTTATGTCAATGGAGTATAGAGTCGGGAAAATAGGACAATAAATGAATGAGATGCATCTTACCTTCAATGGCTTCTTGAAACTTTTGTCCTCATGTTTGGATAGCTGGGATAAGGTATCCTGGACAATGTTGTTCCTGGAAACGAGGATGTCCAAAGTGGGATTCTGGGGATTGACTGGCAGGAACCAACTCATTAAGTTCTGCTGCTGAGCTTCATTGACGGCTCCCTGTAACATGTTACCAGACATTCATCACCAGGTGGTGTCGCGTGCTGTCGATCGCGGTTTTTACGCTTCAGCCAACGTAAAACAAGTTGCTCATTATTATTATTATTATTTTATTATTGGTATTATTATTTTGTAGTGCACTATGTAGAGGCCAATGTATGGTTGGCTGCTGGCTGGTTGAGTTTTTGAATTTGTAGAATAAGTTTCAAAACAATTTGACCATTAATGGTAAAAAGATAATTTCTAGAAAATGGTCACAAACCATATATAGGCACGTTTTTCTAGAATTTAATGTTGCATAATAATTTATTATGAGCGGCTCAAGCCGTTGTTAATCATGAACTATTCTGAAAGGAGAATTCACAGAGCAATTCACATTACAATTCAATAAACACCAATTCAGAAGAATGAATAAAGATAAGCAAATTATAAATATCATACGGAAGAAAATTATTTAAAACAATATTAAATAACCAACCGAAAAATAAAAAAAATAATAAAAAAAACAAAAACAAAACAATAAAAAACGAACACCCATTTGAATTTTGGAGTCGGCATGCAGCAGTTTCGTCTTGCACATGCCGTTGAATATGAAGGGGTAGTCGCAGAATGGAACTGTTTTCATCTGGTAGAATGTTCAAAAAATAAATTTTAAACTAATCAAAACAACCCTAACCCTATCATTATAAATGCCAACCCATATTACAATAATAATAATAAATAATAATTAATAATTGATAATAATAATTATAACAACAATAGTTACAGTTACTATCATTGACCACCTCTCCCGTTCGTCACAGGCAGCGTCGTTGATTATTAGGAAGACCTACTTTTGGCTTGTTTCTCATGTTTCTCGAGTACGAGTGCTCTCTACACTGGACAAAATTCAGCCAGGCGTTCCCATGAATTAGTATCGACCCCCGTAGGATTCACGTCTTATTTGCTGATATCTTAAAATCTTAGCCGCGGTCTGCAGAAACATCTTCAGCTGTTTGCCAGTTCTCTATACAGTGTTACATCTGGAATGCTTTTTATCTTCCATGAATATCTTCGGCGCTTTCTCAGCATTGTATATACAGTGGAGCGATCAGGACGTGAGAGAACATTGGTATCAGACAGGTATCCTGTCCATCCAGGAGATTCGTCATAGTTATTGGATGATTTATATAGCGCCTATTAAAAGATTCCCACAGGCGCTCTCCAAGTATTCCGAACCTATTTCCGGAAAATGAATGTCTTCAACTGCCTTTTGAAATGATAAAACGACAAATTGCGATCACGCAAAGTTCATTCCACACCTTTACTCCACAAACCACAAAATTTTGAGACCCCAATTTCAATGCTGTCATCGGCTGCACTAATAAATCACAATCATCTGATCTTAGACCAATCCTCTAGCCAATAGCTGATTTGTACAGAAACCTATTAGACAAATATTGTGGTGCCAACCCATTCATGCTTTTATACACCAAAACACATATTTTAAACCATATTCTTTTATGAACAGACAACCAATGCAAATCCCAAAGTACCGGGCTCATGTGATCAAACCATTTCCCACCAACAATGATTCTAGCAGCCATATTCTGAATCGTTTGGAGCATAAAAATTTCACGCCTAGCAATTCCATTGAGTAAACCATTACAATAGTCCAACCTTGAATGTATAAATGAATGGACGACAGTACATAATGTTGCTTTGTTCAAAAACGCTTTTGCACGATTCAACATACGCAATTGAAATGCACATGATCTAACCATGTTTTGAACATGCATCTTCATAGTTAAGTTTACATCAAATGTAAATCCCAACACCGTCGCTGTTTTAACAAAACCAACATCACCATCCCCTATTTTGATGGAGTTAACACCAATCCTAGACGTTTGTTGCCAGGTACCAATTGTTATGACCTGAGTTTTATCCTGATTCATTTTTATCCATTTTGAGCCATCCAAACATCAACAGCATTTAAACAACTTTGTAACTTGTCAAATAAATTATTCAACTCACATACAGGCCAGACAGCAACTACCTAAATGTCATCAGCATAGGCATAACTTTTCAAGTTAAATTCTTTTAGTAGGTATATCTAAAATATTAGCTGTATACAACATAAAAAGAAGCGGACCCAACACAGACCCTTGTGGGACACCAGACAACATATCAACAGCATTTGACAAAATGTTATTATAATATAATTGATAGGTACGTTTATAAAAATATGACTCAAAAAATGCCAACAACAAATCACATACACCATAACCAAAATTCAACCTACGTATGAGCACTGCATGATCAGCACAATCAAATGAGGCACTCATATCAAGCAGTGTCAACAAAGAAACATTTCCACTATCAGATGCTTCAAAAAGATCTGATAAAACGCGCAACAAAGTCGACTCTGTCGAATGGTGTCGTCTATATCCTGACTAACCTGGTGGTAAAAATTATTACCTTCCAAATATTTCAAAAACTGAGACGACACCATTCGTTCCAAAATTTTTGAGACAAACGACAAATTGGACACTGGTCTAAATTTTTTTAATACATTTATACCCAACAACAGTTGTTTCAACAGAGGAATTACGGCTGCATGTTTCCAAACAGTCAGGAAAGTTACTGTTGACAATTCATCATACCCGTCAAGTAAGGCAAAAAATAATCAATGTACTGTTTGAAAACTAGTTGTCATTACTGAAGATTTCAAATTTACTGCACTATTCCTTTTGTGCCATTGTAGAATGATTTGATCACAGACAGCATTTTAGATATACATCCTAACTTGAAAAAGTCCATCCATGCTAACCATAACAGTAAAAATAATAATGAAATTTTTAATATAAAGTAAAATCAATCATCAATGCTAATGAAAACCTTGTAATCAGCAGGATATTTATAGATTTCTGAAGCGAATGTTACCTGAAAGAACACAGTGAAAAAGAAATTTTATAACGATAAAAAAACATTACTATTATTATTATTAAAAAAAAACTTGCAGTACATTTTTGAGAGTCCAGATGATATAGTCGATGTCAAGGTCGGTGTGGTCATCAAGGCCTTCTATGTAAAATATTGTGTAGTCCAGGGGGTTGTCACGTAGTTGGTTAACCTGGAAGATGAAAAATGTAAAGACCACAAATGAGTATCGCACTGAACTGAGATACTACTGTGAACAATTTAAAGTATTAGTGTGGTGAAATAATGAAAAAAAGGTGCAATATTATATCCCGACTTTGTGAATTTTATAATTTAGGTGAATTTTTTAAAATTATCAGAATGTATAGAATTGAAAAGGTTTGGTTGAAATGCTGCAAAAGGGGTAAGTGAACGCAAAGAAACCCGACATTGTTCAATTTCTTCAGCAGCTCCATGCATCCATATATCAGCTGTCTTTTTGTTAACACCTGATGGAAATTCTTTTCATATCCGTTGAAAAATATTTTAATTATTGAAATGAATATTTTAATAAATTTCGAATTTGACAAAAATCTTAAAAATATAAACAATAAATAACTTAAAGTTAAAAACATAACTGTGGCCATTTTAAATTAACTTGAAACAAGCTTAACAGAAAAATTGAAATAGTGAGTAATTCGAGCCTACAACATTTTTCAACATAAAAAAAGATAAACTGTTACAATCAGTAGTGGACATTTTTATGGCTGCTAGTTGGAGAAATACAGTGACACACATGACGTGAGCTATCAAGATTGTATAAATGGATCATCATTATACATTTTAAAAAGTTTCAGTTAAAAAAATATAACTCAACTAGGCTTGAATAATAATTAATCCTTTTTAAAATAAATTTATTTCAAAACTGACTAACTTGATTTGCCACTAGGCGCTCTATGTCTTTCAAAACTGGAAGAACTATATTTTTGAGGACCTTTTGGAAGATATTGATTATAATTATGATTCCATTGAAATAAGATTTCATGTAATGTGATGACGTTGAAAAGATGATGAACCTTCATAAAATGATGAATTAATGTGCAACGATAATTAAATTTTTCTTTATAAACGTCATAAAAATATATTTCAAAAAACAAAACTCACAAAGAATGTTTAATATAATTATATTATTTTATTATATATATATATATATATATATGTGCATAAATTAATGCACACACACACACACACACACACACACACACACACACACACACACACACACACACACACATAATAGAGAACCACCTTTATTAAATGTATTTGATATTCTAAAATACACGAATGCCACCAGTTTTCTATTTTTAATGAAAAATAATTAATATTTATTAAAATAATTTAAAAATACATAATTAATAAATAATTTAAATAATTGATAAATAGTTTAATAACTAATTAATTAATAACTTTTTTGAGGAAATACAAAAGATGAAAAAAAACCCCAGCCATATTAACTTAATAAAGATCATTTTGTTTAACTTCCTCTCATTATGAATAGGAAATATCATTGAGATATAACAGCTCAACATCAAAAAACAAATATTAAAATATCATTAATATAACTATAATTATTGTAATAATAATATAGAATAATGAATCATAATAAAAAAATTTGCGACCCAATATACCAGGGAAGGAGCGATCGACATCATTTAATGACCTAACGAATGGTGCAATCACAGTGTCAAGATATCGGTCGACTTTCACGAAGTAGTAGGTTGCCGGCAGAGATATTGCCCACTTGATTGCTTCCATATCCAAATAAACAGCTACCAACTGAGACGCTACCAAATTTTCAACTGTTGAATCTACCTGTAAAGGTACACGTCACATATGAGCTTTAAGGAGGCTATCAATACAATAACATCAAAATACACACACACACACACACACACACACAAATATCTATCATTCTATGTTCTGTTTTGGAGACATCTCATTTTGCTGGAGCTGTAATTGAAGTATAGTTTATAGTTTATTATGATAGCTTCCAACGCACAGTACAATGAAGACTTTGCTACATGCAACCAATCAGTCTATTGAAAGCTTTTTTTAGCTAGGTTCAATTGAAAATTTGTGGCCAATTCGTTTATTTATCATTAGACTAATTCCTCAAAATGATGACAAAGAAGATAGATATATTAATATATTATCTATCGGTATATATTCAGATCACATTCAACAAATTTTTACAAAAAATGTAAGGCCTTATATTGTAATGAAACATCAAATCAATCGAATATTCTAACAAAATTCTGCAAAAATATAAAAACATGGATCCATGAAGAATGAACACTATGTAACAAAAATATAAATCTAAGAAAGTCAAAATATCCAATAACACCCAAACATCTAACACCTAGCAGACTAGGAAGACAATACACACAACACGGGGAAGGAACATGATCTCATCATACAACGTGATCAGCATCAGTGTAGTTAGTATGCAGCAGGAATAGGCAGCACATGCCAGCATGTAGGGTGAATAAAATAAAATACTAACAAGGTCCTTAACAGCTCCGCAGTTGCAGTTGTAGATGGCTTGGAACATCTTTTCACATGCTGTTATATCGACTCCATGGTTTTTCTTATCACAGGACTCGTGTAACTTCTCCCTGCGTTGATTATTCAAACGAAAAAAATTGAAATAATGTAAAGTAAAAGTTAAAATAAATAATTAATTAAATAAATATTTTGTTATTATTCAATGGGTTCAATATTGTGAGGAGCATTAGTTAAAGGGCATACTTATTTAGAAAGGATGCATTCCAACAGGAGACTGATGAGAAGACCTTCTTAATGTCCCTGCAGTTTATATCATTAAAATTTAAATTACAACTGCTTTCATAAGTTTTCATCATCATTTTTTTTTTAAATTTAAATCTTAAAATAAGTTGAAAAAGAAAAAGACAGACTTTTCTGTGCCATCGTCTAATTTGTGGCTTGAAGATAGATGTTTGATGAGTTCATTACTAATTGTCCTAATTTGTTGAGACGGATGTGCTACCCTCATGTCTACCTGAGGGTACTTGGACTGCGTGTCATGAAAACTTGAATGTTAAGTGGGAATTATACTAAGAGAAATTGTAAAATTAATAATAAATAATAATGATTATTTTAACAAATATTATTACTATCATTAGAATAAAAATAAATAAAAATGATTTAATGTACCTGTGAGTCACTGATGACGACGAACGTTTGGTCGCCTCCAGCATATATGCACCTAACGAAGGTGCCCTTTTTCAACGCCAAACTTTTGGCAACGGTTGGTTCAGCTGAGCTGGAGCGAGTGTTGCTACCCAACTGACCATTACTGCCCAGGCCGAATGTGTAAACTTTCGACTTGGACTCAACGTAAACCACCGTGTGATTTCTGATTATTATTAGACGTATTTGTGCATTGGATTGTAGCGTATAATAATGTTACTTCCAGCAAACTATGCATAAAAAAACTTTCAAGCAACAACATAATGTCATTTCATACAAACGTCATTGTAACATAAATAGTCTAAACTTTGACCCAACCTAAATTGAAAGTTAAATTTTTGGATTAAACTATATCAATATTAAGAAATTTGTAATAAACAGACAATAAATGACAATAAATGCAATCCAACATCAGACAGATCAAAGTTACATAGGTTAATGGCTACATAGATTACAAACTAAACACAAACTTCAAGCTACACAGATTACTAACTGTTTAGTGCTCAGATTATAAGCTACAACACAGAACTATAACTTGCCAGTTTTAAAATCAACTCCTATATTACAAAACAATTACTCTAGAATAGAAGAAAAGATAAGCAAGCAGACCTCCCACAGGCAACCATAGAGACAACGAAGCCCATCAACTCAAATATCTTCTTAGGATTGGATTCTGAACTTGTGTTGCCATGGCCCAACTGACCATACATGCCCGCTCCGAAGGTGAACACCCCTCCATTCTGATGTCATGATTGCAAATTTGTAACGTAGTGGGTGTAATGTAATATAGACGTTTTGAACTTTGCAGTATTAGACAACCATGATGACAATATAATGATAATAGCAAAGTTGTCAGTAGAAGTGCCACGTTTTGTGCTGCTATTAATTACGCAATGGCATGGTTCGAATACTGTCTGTCTCCAACTCAAAGACGATTCTACGTGTATGGTGCAGTGCTTGTGCGTGTGTACATGTGTGTGCATGCGTCATGTGGTGTGGATAGTGTGCAGCCTTCGTGGCAGGAAAGTTTAATCGCAAGCATAGGATAACATGTAGGCATCTCTGCATCTTACTGAGCTGCATTGTAAAGAACAAAATAATAATAATAATCATGAACAAAGAAAGAATTTATAAGGATGATAATGGTATATTCATCAAAAATCATACAAGTATTTGCTGCTAAACGATAATTTACAAACATTTACTGACGGACATATGGCGAAATATAGATAGGAAACAAAGAAAATTGCAAGAAATTCAGATGATTATCAACATCACCATTCTGATAGCTCTTAAAACCATTATCATCATTATCATCATCATCAAAATCTGAATCATCATTAGGATTGAATTGCAAACCCTGGTTAGAACAGCGGTGTGGTTCTCCCCGCATGCCACATGGACAACTTCCTGAGACCTCAACATGCTCACCAAAGCTGGCTCGACTCGACCTGTTTGCATGTTGTCATTTTATCATCTGATCAATTGGTTAATGAAGTTAAACATCATATAATCAACCAATCGACTTCATCATTTAGTTAATTTGATAAACAACATGATAAGCCGATTCATCACCAATTAATTTTATAACCAATTAATTCAAATTATTCATATTTCAAGAAAAGTGTTCACCTAATTGATCACCAACACCCAGCTGTCCAAATCTGCAAAAAATTTTAATAAAAAATTACCCACAAAAAAAGATTTAGCAAAATTTGAATAAAAGTTAAAAAAACTATTTAATTAATCTGTATAAGTGACAAAACATTAAAACAAAACAAGCTCTAATTTAAAAAACGTTTACAAAATCAAATAAATGTTCTAAGAAGAAAAGAAGAGTTACTTGTTCAATCCCCAACCGAACAATGCCCCTGAGACCGTTAGTACAAAAGAGTGATGTGCCCCACAGGCAATCTGTGCGATGGGCAAGCCATGCAGACGAGAAATTACTTTCGGCTGAGAAGATGGTTGTGGGTGAATTTTGGGGTTAACTGTTAACTGTCCCCATTCATTGCTGCCCCATGTATGTACACGACCATCTGGTGGGTGAATGGGCATTATTTTATTGTTTGTTTGTCTGAGTGTATGTGTTTGGATGTTTGTGTGTGGATGTTGCCACTATGTTAGTTCTGCTTCTTTTAAACTTGCAATAAAAATAACTCAACAGGCTTTTCTTATATGTTAAAAAATAAACAATGAAGTGAAAACTGTTATAAATGGCAGATAGGCAGACAAGTAAGTAACGAAACTACGGGAAGCAATTGCTAAAATTACCAGGACATATACAATCTGTTCTCACCTCGTTCAATACAGCATCTGCCTCTTTCATTTACTGAAAAATTCTTACCCTTCATTCCCTACTCATTCAATTTACTGTGACTTCCAGCATGGTGTCAAATCAGATCTGGCATGTCACCGTCGTCAAGCTTGTAACTGCGGACCCTACAATGCACTACTACTCCAGCATCATCATCATCACCTCCTCATCACTTTCAACACACCAAACATATGTACGATGTAAATCTCATGTTTGATTAAGACTTCCTTACAATGCACTCAACCATCAACCTTTTCACGTCACATCATTATTTGTTGTTGCTTGTGAGTTTTGAGTTACAGTACCATCAGTATCCTTCAAAAACTTCAGCCAACACTCAGCCGTGCTGTATCAAGGTGAGAGAATTAAGCATTCTCAGGATGAGAATATTTTCTATTTTAAACAATAAAAACAAAGCAAGTTTGATTGCATCCTCAGAAGCACTCACCATCAGTGAGAACCAGGGTGTGATGGTGTCCACATGCAATTTGCACAACCACCATGTCAGAGAAATATTTAACTAATCTGGGGAAAAAAATGTTACAAATAGTAAAATTTTATTTCCGAAACATCTCTTTTCATAAGTTAATTGATTGAAAACAAATCTAATGCAATATCATATGTCATAGTATCCAATATCATTAAAAACATATTAAATAATGATGTCTGCAAAGTACTTAGGCGATGCCGTGGTTTCCTTAGTGTTGGTTCCAAGCTGACCTTCTTCATTGCTTCCCCACGTGTATATTTGGCCTTGGTTTGTTAGGGCAACACTATGATGCAGACCACTTCTTACATTTGCTATTGTCTTTGTTTCCAGGGCATCAATAAACTCTATGGAAAAAAAACAGTTTATCATTCTTAAAGAATTATTTACTATAATTTGTAATCAATGATTAATCAAAAAGATTATAATTAATTAAACAACCAACTTTGGAGAGGAGAGTTATACATGACAAAATTCTACAATTTATTGTAAAATTGAAAACAAAAAATGTTAACACAGATAATGTCATTTAATAATGATGTCATAAAAAAGAGGCACAGGAAATATATTAAAATATAATAAGATTTGTATTTCAATTTAAAATAAAAAAATGGTTATACTTTATTAAACATCCTAGATCGTCTATTATATACTTATACTAATACTACTAAATACTAAAAGACTGTTTGATTTGTAGAGCATAAAATAAGTGATATTACCATTGTATTAACTATGTACATGTTAAATACATTTATTTAAACATTCAACCCACAAAGATGTTGCAATGGAGAAAACAAAAAACAAATAGACAAACAAAAGGGTCAAATATAATGAATGCAATAGAAAGGTAAATCATATAATTAACAACATAAAAAACAGTCAGACCAAAGAACAACCATGAAGAAAAAACACAATACAAGTATGGCTCATATTATACAAATACATACATAACATATTCATTTATTAATAAATTAAATATTAAATATAATACAAAAAATTTAAAACTTGTTTGTTCTTTTTTTTGACTTATAAATAAATGAAGCAGCTACAATACCATAGAATAGAGAATAAACATAATGCAGCATAATGCAATATACACACAAATCTAATATAATAATTAATTAATTAATTAAAATTAAACAAAAAACATAATTGTGCCACCTGGCCTCCTCCTGGGTTTGTCATGCCCCAGTTGGTCATAGTCATTACTGCCACAGCTGTAAACCGTGCCATCTTCTGTTAAAATTAAGGAGTGGAAGAAGTTGGAGCTGATTTCATTTATTTTTTTGTTGGATAAAAATTTAATTTGTCTAGCGGAAAATATTTGTTCCTCTTCGATACCACCCAGTCCGAGCTGTCCGTCGGTGGTATTTCCAAAGCACAAAACATCACACATTTCTTATTGTATTTATGTTTAACGAGTATTTTATTAATATTATATATTTTTAAAATAAGCTAAAATTATGAATAATAAATTTGAATTTGTTCTAAATGTTCAAAATAAAAAAAAGAGTTTACACAGCATATAAACTAAAGTATAACAACATTTAAAACCTTCATTTGTGTACATGCGTAACTTAGACCGAAGCAAAGTTTTTTTTTTATTATTTTTTTTAGGTGTGCGTTGGAAGAATCGGTTTTCGGTATCGGTACGCTAGGAACATTTATAAAGAATAAAATACATTTTTTTGACTTCGAACTGTATATTAGCAAACTACATATTAAGGAAACTCAACATGTATTGTATAATGCTCTATGAGCAACTTGTTAAAGACAGAGACAAGATGCAAGGCTATTGATATAAATAAGTGTCACTCGTAGATATGGTTGCAGTTTTGGATTAGTTTAATCTAGAAAAACTGCATTACGCTTATAATTTTTGTCTGGAAGGCAAAGTATTGAATTGGGTAACCTGAATCTACGCTCTATCCCTTATGTTAAAGCTTTTAACTTTGCTGCTGGTTTAGTAGCTCCTGCCTCTATCTTTTTCTTCCTAATATCTTCATGTCTTGTTCTCTAACACTGGCTACTTATAAAATATAAAAATATGGAATCATTTTTAAAATTTGCACGTTAATGTATAAGTCTCAATCTAAATTAATTCTTAAGTATTTGTCCGATGTATTAATTAAACCTATAAGCCCCAGTTTACGATCGTCTCATTCCCACTTCCTCTTATAGCAGCTATTAAACACGCTTAGGCTAAATAAGCGTTTGCTTTTTCTGGCCCTTTTCTCTGTAACTCATTTGTCGATTAATATCCTAAGTATAAGAAATTGCACGCTAGCAACTAATTGTCAACTTTCAAGAGCGGGTCAAAAATAGTGACTTGCTTTACTTGGGGGGTTAAAAATTTGAGACAATTTGTAACAGGGAAGGAGAAATTCAGAAGTATGAAAAAAGTAACTCCAAGGCAATTTTGTGTGAATAAAAAGTTTATCAGTAAAAACTCTGCATACTGCATAATGACAATAATAGTCATACACCGTATAGAAATGGATAGGTTATGTGGCACATGTTATTTTTATACTGTATAATTTTTAAATTATTAAACAATAAATTAAAAAATATTTAAACTAATTGTATATGTTATCACAAGTCTAAAAGCTTCGTTACTATAAAATTGTTGAATAAAACATTAATTGAAAATCTACACATTTCGTTTGTTAATTTGAACGACATAAATTATGTTCTTGTGTGTAAGTCAAAAACACACACATCACACTTATACACACACATCACACTTATACACACACACAAACGAACACACAAACTCACAAAACACACAAACAATCGGCAAAAATTTGTCCACAAATGTAATTTTGAAAAATATAAAATGAAAGACCCAGGGTAAAAATGACCGACTCCGACTCCTAAAAAATTCTTACCCAGACCGGTGTTTCGAATCCAAGTATAAATTTTCATCTTTTTGCATCATAATTTTACTTAAATATTACTACTAAATGATAAAATTAATTAGGCTTTAAAACATGCTGAAAGAAAATTATTAATATTTATTTTCAGTATTAAATATGATTGCATGTCGCGACACATATTTATCTTCTTAAAAACACTATCTTAAACAAAATTTAGAATAAAAAATTTAAAATATTTCAAATTCTTAACACTTTTCGGAGTCGGATGAAAAATATCCGAACCAACTCCAGCGTCTTAAAAAATGCCAACCCAGCAAAAATCTCATCTCCGACAGAATCTGACAATGCTAAAAGTTCTCCGTTCATTTTTATCCAGTCTATGCACATCGGTTTGAGTTTTGATGTGACGATAGAAACTGTAAATAAATAAATATAGTGTGTATTCCATATGTATGAATATATATAGAACACTATCATGCACACATATGTGTGTAATATATACTCTATATCATATATATATATATATATATATCATATATACTCTATATCATATATACTCTATATCATATATACTATATATCATATATATATATATATATTTTTACAATATTCTAAAAATTCTAAAAATTATATATATATATATATATATTAAGACTGTTAAGAATTATACTATTAAGAATATTAATATATATATTAATTATTATATATATATATTAATATATATATATATATATATATATATTAAGACTGTCAGAAATGCATATATAATATATATATATATACATATATATATATATATATATACTACACACATATATATATATATTTAAATATTTAGATATTTATATATATTTATGCAACAGATATTTATAGAAATTTGTGAAAGGTTGCTTATTAATCTGGAAATTAAATCCCACTGGCATCAATTTACACCTGGAGAATATTTTTTGCAAGGTATGCAAATGACAATGTACTATAGTCAATCAATCAATCAATTAGCTTATAAAGCGCTATTTTCGCGGTGTTCAACAGCGCTCCTCAATGAATTTTGAAAACAGATGGGTCTTGAGATCCGCTCTGAACTTCGCAAGTGATGGAGAAGTAGTCAGAGAAGTAGGTAAAGAGTTCCAGAGAAAAAGACCAGAAAAAGCAAAAGCAGATTTGGCAAAAGAGTGTTTAACACGAGTTTAGAAAAAGCGAGAGCAAAAAGACGATCGTAAACCGTGGCGTTTAGGTTCAATTAATATATCTGATAAATACTTAGGAAATAATTTAGATTGAAACTTATACATGAACGTGCAAATTTTAAAAATTATTCTATATTTTATAGGTAGCCAGTGCAAGAGAACAAGATATGGAAATATATGAGAAAAGAAAGGGGCACGAGCAACTAGACGAGCAGCAGAGTTAAAAGCTTTACTTAAAGGATAGAGTATGGAGTCAGGAAGACCATAGTAGAGCGAGTTACAATAATCAATCCTAGATAAAACTAACGAAGTAACAAAAAGGAGAAGAGTAGAATCATCAAGAAAAGGCAAAAGTTTTTTTATTCTACGTAGATGCAAGTAAGAGCTTCTAGCAACACTATTAATCTGAGAAGAGAGAGACATAGTAGAATCAAAGATAAAACCTAGACTACGAAACTTATGAGAGACATCAAGAGTTTTAGAATCAGGTAAGATAATAGGAGGAATAGTAATAGAGTGTTTAGATTTATTAAAACAAATTAATTCAAACTTAGAAGGATTAAAGTTTAAGACACATAGAGTCAGACCAAGCGATAATTGAAGAAAGACATAGAGATAGATTATGAAGAACACTATTGAGATTAGATGGAGGAAAAGAAGTATAAATGTAAGAATCATCAGTATATAGTTGGCTAGAGAAAGAAAAGTTATTAATAATACAAGGTAGTTCAGAAGTATAAAGTATAAATAGAAGAGGGCCAAGGATAGAACCTGAGGTACCCCGAAAGTAAGAGTAGAAAAGTTAGAGAAAGAATTATTGAGAACAACAGAAGAAAAACGATTACAGAGATAAGAAAAAAACCAAGATAGACAAGAATCAGTAATGTTAAAAGAAAGATGTAGCAGTCTCAAGAGAATAGTATGGTCAAAAGTATCAAAAGTCGAGGAAAAGTCAAGAGCAAGAAGAAGAGTAAGATTACTGTTGTCATTAGAGAGAAGGATATCATTGTGTATTTTGAGTAAAAAAGTTTCAGTACTGTGAGCAGGTGTGAAACCAGATTGAGATACAGGCAGCAAAATAAATACAGAGACTCAACGATGATAAATGATGCAATTGAACTATGAGACAAATCCCGGATATAATTCATGTTTCTAAATGTCTTGAAATATATTTGACATTTTTTATTTCATCAAATCAAAACAAAGAAATCAAAGAAATGATATCAATGAAAAGAAATGATCTGGAAATCGAAAAGAAAATATGGTTTTCTTGTAATGATCACCAGTGACAATTGTAAAAATGAGAGCATATTTTAAATATTTTAGTGCATGTAAACTCACATTTATATTACAAATCCTAAAAAACCAAAAATGGAATCAAAATTATTAAGTAATCAACTCTTTTACATTTTTATCAGAATGTCGTTTGTAATTATTGAAACACAAATATATATATATAGACCCACGTAAAACAATTCTATATTTTTATTAGTATTATCCTATTATATCCCGTAAATTTCTTAAATTATGTATATATAAAAGTAAAAATTATTACCTAATTTTTACCTTTATGAGTTTAAATTTGCAAAATGGATTTTAAAATGATTTTGATGTTTTCAACATTACTTATCTTTCTATTGACCGTTCGTGGTCAATCGCAAGATGCCCCTAATCGTGAAAATTTAATTGGTATTGAATTATTGATTAGCGCCATAGGTTCAACTGTTTTCATCAGTGTACTATATAGTACCTATTTCTTTTCTTATTCTCATCCCTCTGGACAAAAGACATGCACATGAAGGCTTGTTAAAGACGTTGCTCAGTTTCGCATCAGGATGTTTGTTAGGAGATGCGTTTCTTCACCTCATCTTCCACGCTATGATACCTCATGATTCAAGCATCGAGATCTATCATGATCCTGATCATTCACACGCTGGCGCACATTCCCATCTCATGAACATTGGATTCTATCTGGCATTGTGGCTTTTTTGATTGTCGAAAAATTTGTAACTATATTGAATAGAGGAAAACCTTTGGAAGAACATGGAAATGTTTGTTTCTTAAATGATGGGGGCATCAAAAAGAAAGGTATTTACATCAATGTTGTACTAATTGTTTAAACGTTTTTTGGACTTAGATATGAAATCACTTTTATTTTTAGACCTAGGAATAAAAACAGCTGCTTATCTTAATTTAGCAGCTGACATCACCCACAACTTCACCGATGGTCTGGCAATAGGAGCCTCATATTTGGTAGGTAGAAATGTCTGCATGATAACATCGCTGACCATTTAACTTCATGAGGTTCCTCACGAGACTGGCGACTTCGCTATTCTCATTCAATCTGGATTCTCTAAAAAAGGGTGAGTCGTTAAACGAAAAATAACTGCCACAAAAAAGTTTGTTTAATATTTAATAAATGTCTGATGAAATGTTTATTTTAATTAGAACGTTGTTGATGTTGACTGATGCTTACATGTCTAAACAGGCTATGATTTTCCAAGTAGCAGCAGCAGGAACAGTTTCAGGAACCGTTTGTTGCTTGTTGGCAGGAGGGGCGGGAAGATTTTCCGTCAGCTGGATTTTACCTTTCACAGCTGGTGGTTTCATATATATAGGCGCTGTCAGCATAATACCTGAGTTATTAGAAGAATGTATGGCAGAGCGTAAAAGAGATTATGACTATGGTTGTTGGCGTTCTTATGATGGTTTTCATTGAGGAGGTTGAACGAAAATAAAAACTGATCTAGTTGTAAAAATGGGTGTGTGCATATTATACATGAAAATTGTTTTTTAGCTGTAAACACTTTTCACCCAAGAAATGAAAGTTTAGGTAATTTTACAAAGTTTTTATAGCTCAAACATTAGAACAATAAAATTTATGCCAGGATTATATTTTCATAACAGTTGATTTTTCAAGTTTTGATCCAAATTAACATTAAAAACGTCGGCAGTCACTTGAAAATTAAATTTTAATGCAATTTTAAAATATTATGTATGTATATTATGATTACGATGGCACTGTTAATTTTTTTTATTTATTCTTTATTATTGCAGCTCTGACATACGCAGAACCGCTTACAATGTTACAGATTTATATTATCTGTATATCTTTTATTCTTTTCTTCATCCATTGATTTGAAGCAGCCATCTTCGCCACAAAGGCTGTTTACCCTTTTCACACGACGTACACATGTGTTTTATGTGTACGCGCAAGCGCCGCATCATATACGCTGAGTATATGATTGCCATTGAGATGTTTAACTCAGCGAGCATCCGAACCACTGAGCCATCTCGCCGGCCAACATTCGACAACTTACGTCGTCTCCCAACTTACCAGCCTCGAAAGGATGGACGGCTGGGTTAGCCGGGAGTCGGCTATCAGGATGAACCTGTAGAAACATCAGGATTCGAACCCGGGTCGTGGGAGCGATAAACGGACGCGCTAATTACTCGGCCACGAGACTCTGTTTTTCCTTTATAGAAATCACGATGGTAATTTTTTAATTGTTATATAGTGTTTTTTTTTGTAATTGTGTTGAATTGTTACAGTTTTTTGCAGCAAGACAATTATTTCTACGTTTAACTTTATTTTAGTGAGAACATGTTTAATCTTATGTTTAATTTTGTGTTATTTTATATTTTGATGGCGCTTTTGAATTTCAACTAACTAGCGCTAGATAAATCTTTTGATAATATATATACACATATATATATATACACATATATATATATACACATATATATATATATATATATATATATATATACATATGTATATATACAAACAATATTTGCACAAATTCTAATTCTAATTAGCTATTTGAAAACGAGAAATGAATAATTAGTTAATTAATTAATTACAAGATGAACAAACATCAAGAACAGAAATAAAAACCTATGACAAACAAACGTATTTCTAACTCAATATCAATAAAAATATGAGCAAAAAATAAATAAAATGTATACATGAGAAATAAATTCATTAATTAATAAGGGGACGAAAAATTTATAAAGTGTATTTCAATGCAAAGGCTTAATGGTTATCTTAACAAGAGTGTTATCAAGCAAATGGAATGTATAAATTTTAAATAAAGATGATTTCTTATGATAAATCCATTTCAGCAGAGGTTGTGTGTCAACAAGCAGTTCATCAGGATAATGAATGATTGGAATGAATATCTCTGTTGAACTTCTTATCTTTGTTCTAGATCTGAACTCAAATTGAAAGATTTGTTCATCTAAATCAAACTTCATCATGACTGGAATGCCTGCCGTGGCCATTGCATAAGGCCTCGAAAATGATTTTATTACTTCAGGCTTCGGAAATCCGTTATCATCGAAAAATAATGAGTCCCAATAAGTCCATGACTGAAGATGCTCATCAGATTTATCCAGAATGAAATCGCATTCCATTGTGTCGATGCTGAGAGGATTGCCATCAGGCTCACAAAGTCCAAATTCTGTCAAAAATGAAGAACCACCCGTTTTTAGAATATCATCAGCAACAGTGAGAAATATATTACTGGCTAGTATGCTGTCACACAAAGCTTTCAAAGGCCATGGATATTTGGAATGTAAGGCACTAACATTCATAACCCAACAATAAATATGATAGGAGAAAACGCTTCTATTCTGAAATGATTCACCACCTGGAAGTTCTTTGAAACCACTTCCAAACAGTTCACTCCTTCCAAGCACTCCCCAAGTTACTGGCTCATAAAAAATGTTTGTGTGATCATCTACTTTTCTAATTTCAACAAATAGTCTATCATATAATGGTTTTAAATTTTGATACCCAGCAATTCCTGGTAGTAATAATTGTGGATTATAAAATACATTACCTGCCCAAGGTTCATTCAGTAGTTCATAACCAAGGATATTGTTTTGATTTTTAAATTTTTCAGCAATCTTTACCCAGAATCTAACAAATTTGTCAGCAGATCCAGAAGTGTTGTCATAAAACTGTTGAAATGCTGAACTGACTGAATAAGTTAAATATCCTAAAGCCCAATTCTCACCTGAAATATAATTGAATGGCCAGGGATATTTCAAAATGCTTGGAGTGAAATTTCTGCTAAGCCACCTAGGGAAGCCATCGTAACAATCCTCACAAACGGCAGATGAAAATACATCTTGATGAGCATCTAATATGACGTTCATTCCATATTTATCCAAAGTTTCTGTTATTTTGTACAAAATATCAATATAAGTTTCATTGAACTCGTTTTCGCTTGGTTCTACTCCTGACCACATTGTCCCCAATCGAACGACATTAAAACCCCACCTATTATAATAGAGCAAACGTGTTTCGTTCAAAATTTGCTCGTCAAACCACGGCGGACCTTTTTTCACGGAGTTGAAACCATGAAACAATCGCACTCTGTCATATTCGTCGACCATCCAATTATCTCGAACTCTAATCAGTGCAGATACATCTTTCACGAACACGAAGAAAGTGGTGACTGAATAACAATAAATAAATAAATAATTTGAAATCATTTTGCCAACTTTAAAAGTATTCAAAAAGCCTGTTCAATCGATTAACTCAAAACAGCATCACCATCACATGATATGACCATTTGCGATTACAACTATTCAACTGTCTGTGCACTGTTACAAGCCCCATTAAATAATTTCCTTGTTTATGTTTACAATCATCAGCTGATGATACGTTAGTGAAGGTAAGAAGAAAAACAAATTTTTGAGTGTTTCAATTTTTATTCTATGTATAAGGTTACATCGTTCAATAAAATTGGTTTCAGCCATATATTATATTATGTATATATATATATATATATTAACATTCTGTCTTGAATCACTTTAGTAATTATAAGGTTATTTTTCGGTTTTTTGTCCTTGCTTACAAATAACATGTGGTTGTTTTTTAATTTTTAACCGCATTTAATAAAAAAGCGTACATCTCAAACCTTTTAGAAATCCTCACATAACAATTTCAAATTAAACTTTTACGCCAAAATTGCATATTTTTTGTTTATTCTAAACTTCTGCACTCTGTGGAAAGGAATGAATAAGTTTGAAAATTTCTGTTCAACCACTTTAATATATTTTCAATTGCTCAATAGTTTCAGGATCGTCTCAAAAATTACTTTGTCAAAGTTGTTACAAGTGGCGCTATAAAAAATAAAACAATGATTTACAAATTGAGAAAATTGCAAATAACAAAGCATACATCATCACCATTATCTTCTTGAATGACATCATCACCACCATCACCATCTTTATGAATTGAATCATCAGCACCACCATCGCTATGAATGGCGTCATCATCATGGCCACCTTCGCTAGAGGAGGCTGCATGCATGACAGCATAAGGAGTGAGGTAATGATTCTTGAGAAGACACTCAGCGTATGATGACCATGTGGTGATGTCCGGGAAGATGATGATGATGATGATGTCTGTGATGATGCTGATGATGATAATATTCGTGATTATGATGTCATTGAAGACAATGCTGCTGATAATAGTAACGAGAAAGATGTCTTTATGTCTTCATGAGGCTGTCAACGATGATGAGAATGATGATGAGTTTCAAGATGTCAACCGTGATGTAGATATGATGATTTTCATAGTGATGATGATGTTATCATAATTATTTCATGATGATGATGATGATTGTGAAGTGATGCTGCTGCTGCTGCTGATGATGATTGTGAAATGATGCTGATGATGATAGTGTTGTGATGATGGTGACGATGATAATATAATAAGAATCGTATGAAAATGGTGCGGGTGGTAATGGTAGTTAGGATAAAATGATGATGATGATATGTCACCGCCTTTTGATTTCACTATTTACTCCAGACGACTGACGAAACGTCAGCAGTAATTACATCAGCAGCTACAGCAGCTACATCAGCAGCCACTGCAACTTCACCAGCAACATTGAAACTTATGCAATAACCAGGCTGTCAGGGATTTCAATTTAAACCCATATTGAAAGTTGACGTTAATAATTGACGTTATTTTTTAAGTTATTAAAAAATTAATTAATCAATAACATCAATAAAACGACAATAACAACATTAATAATTTTTATAGCATATAAAAAACAATAACCGCAAACCCAACTACACACACATACACACATGCACACACACACACACACATACACACACACACTAACAAACACACACTCACACTAACAAACACACACAAATTAACACACACACATACGTGCACCTCTACAAGCAGCTACGAATAACATTCAGTGTATTAAAACGTTATTAGGGAAGCAGAATAGTAGCGTAACAGAGTGTAACACCGAACCAACAAATGTATAGCAAAAATTCAGATAACATCGACCACGTGATAACATAAACAACATAAAAAACACAACATAGACAATTTAACGACAAAAACAACATAGACAACATAACGACAAAAACTCTTTGGACAATATAAATATAAACAACATAGACAATGAAAAAAATAGTATAAACAACAACAGCAACATAAACAATATAAAAAAAATCAAAAACAATATGAACAACCCCAGTAAATGAAGAACTGAGCAAATGCTGTAGCAGTGTGCAAAGCCTGCATTGTATGTGGTGTGTATGTATATGTATATGTGTGTGTATGTATATATGTATGTATATGTATGTTTGTTTGTATGTATGTATGTATGCATGCTTGCGTTTTAGTTCTTCCATTCTCTTTCCAATGCTTCATTGGCTCCCAATTTCCGCTCGAATCATATTCAAAATTGCAGTCCTTACCTTCAAAACCCTTTTATTAAAATCCCCAACATATCTATACGACCTCATATCCAGACATGAACATACTAGATCACTCCGCAGCAGCTCAACAGGTTTCTTAAACATTCCCGTAGCCGGATCCCGCCTGGCTGGCCGCGGTTTTCGTCACGCTGCTCGTATGTCTGGAATGCGTTACCTACTGAGTTAAGACAATGTTCCTCGTTGAGTCTTTTCAAAAAGGGATTAAAGACTCATCTTTTTAACACGGGCTCCGGGCGCCTCTGAAGCAGCTGTGCGAATGGGCGCTTCATAAATGTTTATATTATTTATTATTATTATTATATATGTATGCATGCATGTATGTATGTATGTAGGTATGTATGTATGTATGCATGTATGCATGTATGTATCTATCTATCTAATGTATGTGTGTGTAAGTTTTTTGTGTATTTGTATGTGTTCGAATGTTTTTTTATATGTTTGCCTTGCATGTACATATTTGTATATATTTATATATCCCTATATTAATAAGAGAATAAATGTTGATAATTGAAAATATAAATTGTTGATTTATTTATTTATAAATATCGAATATGTTTATTTAATATATTTTAAACTTTGTCTATTTGCCTAGTTTGAAAGCACTTGCTTTGCGTACACACGCACATGCAGGTGTGTGTGTGTCGGTGTGTGTGTCTGTGTCTGTATATGTGTGTGTGTCTGTGTCTGTATATGTGTGTGTGTCTGCTTACGTTCTTATGTTTCACGTTCTTATAACTGAAGTACATTTTAAAGTATACAATATCTCTTTTAAATATCTTAATGGTATATACAGCATATATATATATATACATATATACCATATATATATATATGCTGTATATATGCTTAATGGTATATATATATATATACATATATATATATACACGACACGCGCATTTATATTTATTTATTTATATTTATACAATATATATATGTATATATACTGTATATATGCTTAATGGTATATATATATATATATATATATATATACACGACACGCGCATTTATATTGCGCGTTTTATGTACAACTCGTATGACAGGATAATTGTAAAAATGTATGTTTGTACAGATAGATGGATAGATGTGTTAGAATGTTTGCATGTATACATGTGTGAATGCGTTTGTATGTATGTATGTATGTATGCGGGTGTGTCTGTGTGTATGTTTGTGTATGCATGTATGTATGAACAATATGATTAGTCACATAAATCGGCATTTAACTAAAATTTTTGAACGACGCAGACCCGCAAGAACTTTTGCATGAAACCTGCCGTCTCCTGATCAACTACGAATCAGCGTACGCGAATCGTTGAGGAACTTTGGATGTTGGAGTTCACAGGACAAAGGACTTTAATATAAATGAGCGAAAATTCAATTGAAAAAAACCTTTTTTTTCTCCATTTTTTCATTCGAGGTTTGGCTTGCAAGCGAATTCTTTTATTTTTATGCTTGTCTGTATGGGAAACGGGGACATCCCATGCCAAACATTTACTACCGTCCTTCAAAGGGTGAAGGTGCGATCATCAGCTTGCACGCCATCTTTCTTCAAGGTAGAAAACAAACCTTTGAGAAAAACTGGCACCAATCATTTAAAGCTGAATAGCGTTCTGGATGGCCAACCGCACAACGAAACCACCACGACAAACTAAACCACGGCCACCAAGTTCATCAGTTCAACCGCACTCAACAAACAAATTTCTTTAGAATCACTAAATCCATTTTTAAAGTTTCATCATCTAGTCTGGTGCCTAACGATGTGTTGGGCCATATATATATATATACACAGTTATTAACCCAAACATACAGTTATTATACTGTCTGGACCCAAATATATATATATATATATACATACATATATATATATATATACATATGTACATACATGTTATTTATAATATATATATTCTTATGTGTGCAAGCAACTCAACTGCTTAGTGAGTGACATGTCTTTGCGTTTCGTGATGTTGTTAGTATTGCTTGTTACGTTGTGATGTTGTTAGTGGTGTTGTGATGTTGTTGTGATGTTGTTGTGATTTTGATGTTGTTGTTAAAAGTGGCGATGGTGGTTTTTTTAAAGTCACTTTTGTTAGTAGTACTTTTATTTTATGTAGTCTGGTGTGACTGGTTGTTAACAATTTTGTTGTCTTTTGTATGTGTGTACGTTTCCAACAAATCAAAACTCGGCATCACGATCTCGCGTGTGCATTGTAAAGGTTCAAGAACTTGGATTGAGATCGTGAACAATGTCGAATTTAAAACATTAAATAATTTTAAAATAAAATTGAAGGACTGTTTACTTAAATATGAAGCGTGACTATGAAAACTTTATTTATCTACATTTTGTTTTGGCAATAGAAGTATTTACAACTTTTTTGTTAAAAACTGAAAATTATTGCCTATTTCTGTTAGAGTGGCCATCACAAGACACCTAAAACTTTATCATTTCCTCAATCTAGTTTTCTTTTTACTTATCGATCACCTCACTAACTCACTATCTAATTATTTTTATTTAATTATTAAAAATTATTTTATTTATTTTATACTACTGCCCTGCATGCTGTAACAGTTTCTGCATCCGTCAGATCCTGATTTTTAAAAAAATAATAATAAATAAAAACATTAGATAAATTTATTTACAAATTTTTCACGGTCATTCTGCCTTTTTTTTACAATTAATCTTTAAATTGAGGAGCAAACAAAAATTCGTCCCTTCGTTACCTTTGAAGTGACCGATGTTG